CCCCAAAACCCCAAAACCCCAAAACCCCTCTTGTTTATATAAATATTGAAAATAAGAGATGATTTTGCCTAAATTTACCCTAGATACTGATAGAAAGAAGAAAGTTAGCTACAAATATAAAGTCTCTAACAACCGTCTTGCTGGTGTTGAGGTATAGATATATAGAGCTTTAAGGGGGCTTCCCAGTAATTGTCTTAACTTTAGTAGATTGGTTATGTATGAATTTAATAGCATATTTTTCTTATTTTCATATTTCTTATAGCTAAAATAATCGTCCTCAAATGGGTAAAGGTAAGGAGGAATAGGTAATGAGTAGAATACAAAGGGATTCAGAGCGATTTGTCCAGCAAATTTGGAAATAATTTCAAACCAGGAATTTTGAAAGAGAAATATTTAAGAAAAATTTCTCAGAACCTTAAGAATAATCACCACAAGAATGAGTAACTTCTCAGAGTAAACCATAGCACTTTCTATCCAGCCACTAAATAAATCAGCAGTGAGTTCCTTGCCATTAGAAGTTATTGTGGTAAGTTTTATCAAAACTCTCCTCATATGTTTAGGAACATAAATCTCATCAGAAACGATTAGCTCAGATCAAATCAAGGACCTCAAATCGCATGATCAAAAATGCATCTCTAAAGAGGCAGAAATAACAAGTCATCCAATATGAACTTCAGAATGGCCAATAGTGGAATATATGTTAACGAGAAATATTATTTTGAACAAGCTTTTAAAGACAATAAAGTCCTGTTTGAGAAGATTCAGAAGATAGAGAAAAGAGAAAAACCAAAAGCTGTAGACACCTCAGATATGCCTATCAACACTTCCAGGAGCAAGAATACTTCACGTAAAGTTAATGGTTAAAAGCTTAGATTCAACTTCCAGGCTTGATTCAAGCAAATTGACGAATAAAGGGAAATACAGCTCTTGGCTGACCAATTGCAGTCTTGCTCCAACAGCCAATTCTCGTATAAGATCAAATATCAGCATCAGGAAGCTAAAAGGTAACTTCTTTGCTAATTATTTCAAAGGTGGAGGTGCTCAAAGCCAAAGAACACTTCATAATAAAAACAGTGATTGATCGAATAAAGAAGAGCAGGTAAGTTTAAATCCCAAAATATGCTAATATGCAAATCTACTTTTAACCTGCTGAGCATAGATCACAAAGAACCAGACCTCTCGGTATTTCAAAACTCGGGGTAGGAAGATTAGTTCAGCTAATCGAACTAAGATATTAACCACTAGTGAGACTTTGTCTCGTAGGCAGTCAGTAAACAGGTTTTCAAAGAATTCTCAGTATAATTCTTCATACAAAATCACTACATCTAGTCATGTTGAAGAAAATGCTGAATGGTAAGTTACAGCATAGCTGTGATTTTGAGAATTTATTATCAAAGTTTTAGCCAAGAATTTTTACCATAAGCCCTAGGGCTTGAAACAACGAGGAATTCTACCTGAGTTTAATGTAGTTTTGGCGACACATTTCCTGAAATATCCAATGTTTTGGTGAATAAATAGTTTCTAAGAAGTTTTAGACGATGCTAATTTGGAATTATCAAACTAATTCTATTCTTTGCTGAAAACTATGAATATTAAAATTGTTGTGTATATCCCGCTGCAGGTTTTGGCTGATTCTGACAAAAGAAATTTTCTCAAACACTTTAGATTATAAATAGAATAATGACAATTCTCATACTCAATTTAAAGGCTCCTGTGGTAGTAATAGCAATCAATATGCTTAATTTAATTCGATACCCAGATATCCCTTTAAAGTTAAAAACATATTGTGGTTTAATTGTGCTTTAGCAGTCCAAAGTTTTCCCAAGAAGATGCAGACTCCGCAAATTATGACGTCCTCTACTTGAAGAGAGGGTTAGCATATCCTATCACAAACGAAGGGTATAAGAAGTTAAGAGAAGGCAAGAAATCTTCTCTTAATAAATTATTTGTATAGTTGTGAACATTTCTATGAGAGAAATTGTAAAAATTGAATAATTTTTTTCAATATTGATCCTAAGTTCTGGGGTTTTGGGGTTTTGGGGTTTTGGGGTTTTGGGG